TTTTTTTTTTTTTTTTTGGTTTGACAATCATTAACATGCACTATTTCTATTGGTTTGATTTTCCTTGCATTATACAGTCGTACATACACACATCTACTATAATTTTTCTGTTGATCTTTCTGGCAGCTGAAAAACAAAACTGCCACTGGTTTGAACAGGATTCATTAATTTCATTGTTCTACTGAACAACCACAGGGGATTAAATGAAATCTTTTGAGGTCACATAACAATGGCCGTTAACATGATGCTGTAGTTTCTTATGCACAATGTGATATGGTTTAATTCAAAAAGACAGAAAACATAAAAAACAGTTATTGTCTGATAAAAATATGTAAATACTCTCTATACTGACAGTCCATTAAACTGCCTTACAGCTAACTGAAAGATGAAGCGTAGGGCTCAGGCACTGATATATGAGAAAGTTTCTTAAATTCTTGTGATCTGAACCTTGTAAAGATACTCTCAAGGTTGTAGGCTTTACACCTTACAGATCATTRTTTTACAGTTTAATGCATTTTCTTCCAGCAAAGCGGTGCATAAACAAGTGCTTCAGCAATTAAACAAATGTTGCAGGGGCATGTAATGGTACCTATACCTCATTTCTGTGAGTGTGGTTATCTATATTACTTAATTGCTCCCACAGTGAGGGACAGCATGGACTTCTGCCAGCCCTATTTAAAGGAGCTTTCCATTTTTTGTGGCCAGCATGAAAAAGAAACAACTCTGCATGGACCTCTGGAGATCATCAGCCCTGCTCCATCCCCTAGAAAGGGTAATGGGGCACATGTCCAGCCAGTCACAATGGACAGGGTGGATAAATCATCAAGTAAAAGGCAGGCTCCTCTAAGGGATGCCTATACGTGTAGGAAGGCACTGAGAAACCTTCTTTAAGTCACACAAACATCCTTTCTTCTCTGAAGACAGAAATCAGTTACAATCAGAAATGACTCCTAAGGAATATACGTAGGCAAAGAATGTACAGTAATGTGCATGGCTGGGATCCTGAATAAATCAAAATAGTGAAAAAAAAAGTGTAGTGATTTCACCAGCTTGGTTAGATAACTCAGACTGCTATATGAGCTGTTTCCTACAACAACAGCAGGGGATTTCATTAGTACAGAATTCCTTCCTGTTCTCTATCCAATCTAACACAAAATGAGTAGAAAATGATTTTTAGCAATAAACTAGATGAGGAAAAAAAAAAAGCAGTATAGAGTAATAAGCAAGAAAACGGTCAGGTACTCCTTTGTGGTCAACAGCACTGGGCAATAGGCATCTCCCTTAAGCTATATGGAGTTTAAAGAGGTATTTCATTATCAGAGAAAATGAGAGGTACATTAGTAGTTATGCAAGGAGAGTAACTCCCATTACTTGGGATAGAAACTGAATTAACATATTCTGTTGTGCCCATGGGGGCACAAGGCAAAAGCTAACACTATAACAATATGAAGCTTTTGTTAACCATGCATTTCAAAAAACTGGGAAAAATAACATTTAAACTCTGCTACAACATATGGGACTACAAGTTCTTAGATTTAAATGTTTCAGTAACAGAAGATAAAGAAGGCTTTATAAATGAGTGTCTAAATAAAAAAAGAACAATCTTAAACTTCAGCAGCAGATATTTGCAGATAATGCAAGTAGTCAGTAATGAAGGCATCTATTGTATAAACTTATATTAGTTGATACTAATCAGTAAAAAACACATCTGATTTCTTCTGTTTCAATAAGCAGACAGCAACATCTTATGTAATGGCTTCTTCCTTTCTTGCTGCATTCTAAGTAATATGACAGCATCTTTATTTGGCTTCTGAGAAAGCAGATAGAAACCTCCAACAAAAAATAAATAAATAAAGTAAAACCACACACACACTCACAGAAAAAAAAGATACTTTCAGGCTTTCTTCCCTAGAGTACTATATTATTCTTGTGAGAAATAGGATGAAGGATTATTTTAATTTTCGCAAGATCAAGATGACCATACAATTACAGCCACAGTTCCCCACCTAAACAGAAACTAGACTGATGAAAAATTTTAAAAATATACAAATACACACAGACATTGAAAGGGGAGGGAAAGGGGACAGCATGACACCTAATTTGATCTATGTATTAATAAAAAATAAAAGAGGAATAACTGTAAGCTACTTTCTTCCCAAGTTTTGTGTTCTATTCTATGGACAACACAACTCATTTCATTGTCTCAAATGGGTCAGAGCAGATCTGGCCTGAATGTCTCAGTGAAGCCAAGGGCCTGCTGTGCTGTATATGAAACATAAAACATCCTTTCATTATACCAATCAATTTTTATTATTGGAAAAAATATATCAGTTCAGTTTCAAAAGGCATTTAGTGAGTCAGATTTTTCTGAAGCCTTTATCAAAGAAAGGATAGCCTTTTCTTTTTCTTTTCAGCAAATCAAAATGAATAGTCATTACAATTTTGTAGTAGTTTTAAAGGAAAACTGATAYAAAAGATTTAAACAAAGCCTTCACATACAAATTTAAATAATAAAAAATCTACTTCTCTATTGTAAAAATGGGCTAATCTAATTTAAGAAATATGAGCTCAGCACAGAGAAATATTCTTGTGGGTAATAGGATGTTAAGCTTTCCAAGTGCACTGTTGTATCAAGTCTTTTGGCAAAATCTCTATGCATAAACAGTTAATTCTAAGCATTGTTTTGTGGCAGCAAAATGAAAATTTTTGGTCACTGTTCCCAGTAACAACAAAGATCAGTCAATAATAAACAGCAAGTTTCTCTTTTCATTGCTGATAATTTAGAGACTGAGGGAAGGAGAGAAAAGGATTAGAGCCAAGGTTTATAGACCTCTCTATTAGATCTTTCTATCACCCTGCCATTTAACAATGGAAAAAGAGGTAGCTACACTTTGAGATCTGCAGAGGGCCAACCTAGGCAGCACATAACTGGTATACTGATGGTATACACAGGAAGTTCCATCTCTATATGAGGAAGAACTTCTTCATTGTGAAGGGGACAGAGCCCTGGCACAGGCTGCCCAGGGAGGTTGTGGAGTCTCCTTCTCTGGAGGTCTTCYAAACCTGCCTGGATGCTGCCCTGTGCCCCGTGCTCTGGGTGTCCCTACTGGAGCAGGTGGGTTTGGACTCGATGGTCCCTTCCAACCTTACGCATTCTGTGATTCTGTGATACTCAAGCTCAGCTGAGTCTCTAATGTGTAATGAAGCCTTGTCCCTAGATGCCCAGCAAGTGATGACCAGGCAGGTAAAGTCCATGAGAAAAATGTCCTGTCCTACAGTGTGCTGTTAGACACAGCACAGTACTGCAGCATTAGGGCTATCTACAAATCACTAGGCACAATAAGGCACTACTCCCAGCAGAAATTATCAACAGCGCTTATGTATGGTATTATGCTGAGAAGAAAATACTACTTAAAATCTATTAAAGTGTTTTAATTCACTTTGCTTAACCATGCACTCCACTGCTGAAAGTTACTTTGCTAACATTTTTCATTAGCTTTAATTAAGCTTCCATGTACTAAACCAATTCTTAACATAAAGCTAGTGCAAGAGTGTCAAACACAATCCTGAGATAGCCAGAAAAAAAAAGATCAGTTAAGATGATTTGGTATATAATATAGTTAACTGTCCATGTTGTATTCAGCTACTACTTTTACCTAAAAGCCAGAAACATTTGCAAGGGGATTAGAGTTACCTTGTCATTTGTAAGAATTTTCTTTTCCACCTGACAAAGGTTTCTGAAGTGATATGGTTATGATGTATGAAGCAATATTTGGGAGAGTACTATTTTAAATTAGTATTATATATAATTTATATAAAGAGACTTTTATATATAAATGTTTTAGAGAAACAGCTCAAGCATCTCTAGAAGGAGATACACTCCGAACACTTGGCAACTCTTTAATCAGGGAGCATGTGGAAAACTCTCCATTCCTAGACATATTGTTTCCTGCAGAAGAAGGTATTTTATGATCTGTTATCAGGAAGCAGAGGGACTAATGGTCCTTTTGACATGGAAGKCCATGAATTTCTGAAGAAATCTTAAAATGTGAAAGAAGAACATGCTAATTTTTCTTTTCTTGCAGAGAAATATTGTGCTAGCCATGAAATACGCAAACCTTTCTTCACCAGGAGCAGGGTTTATAATCCTCAGAAGAGAGGTAATACTGGTAAACAAGAATTGCATGTACTGCATGAGGTGAAATCTGGCTGAAGAGACAAAGCTCAGAAGAATGCAGGTTGACAGAAAAGAGTTAAAGGGAAAATAATAGGATTTGATGAGGATGCATGGCAGAAGGGAAACTTAAACAGACAGAAACCCCTGTAGACCAGGTAAAGTTAGTATCATCCAGCTAATCTAGTTACTCTGTTCCAGGCACATAGAATAGTGACTGTGGGGCCCAAAAGATAAAATGAAAATGATGGGGAATAGGAAAGAACACTTGTATGTCTAGAATATTATGTATAAATAGAACCACATGCAGAGAAAAAAAAATCTACTGTTACGCAGACTCACATGTGACCCACAATACAGGTGATCAAGTTTCTTACTCTGGACTACTGTAGTTATCCTGTAAAACAGAGAGATCCGATATCACTTGCATGTTTCTCAAAAGAGCTAGTCAGTGAATAGGTAGGGATTTGAATAATTTACAACAGACTGTCATTAATCCTACCACTGCAGGACCTTAACAAAGTACAGATTAATGAGAGGTCGTAAAGCTTCAATGTGGCACTGCTAGTACAAGCAATCACTCTGCAGCTGAACTATCGCATTTCCTCACCGAGGAGTGAGCTCTTCAGTGAAAACAACAAATTTAAGTGCCTGTATATGAAAAGAAGCATTTTAGCAACAGAGATAGTGAGTTAGCATTTGGCTACAGTCATTTAGATTGATTATGTCTGGAACACTCATSTTCCACTGAAAGAAGGTCAAGATGCAAAAAAAAAAAAAAAAAAAAAATCATCTGACATTACTTTTGTCAAGGATTTCCACCCTTTCCAGGAGTTTATATCTCCATCCCACAGGATAAAAACACAAAGCATAACCCGTGCTGTTCTAAAATATCTAGTGTCAAATGTTGAGTTTCTAAAAAGTCYAGAAATGGCCATCTGTAATGTTACTACTTCCAGCTACTCTCCCTTCATCCAAGATAATTGGCCTGGCAGAAAACACTGCACCAGTGTGGGATTTTAGTATAAAAAAAGTAGGTTTGTACAAATATACTCCAGCTGAACCGGGGTTACTGCCAGTTTGCTGGGAGTAACTGGCTGCTTACTAACACTGACTTCATCACTGCATATTTGCAATTGAAATCATGCAGACAGTTCATGCAGTGTGCGCTGCCTGGCAAGAAAATAGGTGGTTTGAATGGATTTAATTAATGTTAACAACTCTCAATCCATTAAAAAAAAACAAGTTCAACTGACTACGTAACTGTACCATCTCACTGAAGTCTATATAATACTATACACAGGATCATGAAATAAATAAAATGTTTTGTGAGAGCTAAAGCATTTAGTCAGCCAGTGAACCTTAGTTTCTGTTCTGACATTCTACAGTGCACACAGTTTCTGAAACTGTATATGGGCTAACTGCCCAAATGTTAGAAGGTAATCAACATTTAAAAGAGTTTGCTTTGCTGTGATGAGCTAATATTGGCTCCTGGACCACAGACACAGGTTAAAAATAGCAATGTGGAAATTACTGCTCTTCCATTTCAACTTTGTCCRGGAGGTAACACTAAGGATGATACTACATTGAGCTGGATATAGCAGACAAAGCACAGACRTGATTCATTGGCACAACAGCCTAATAGTGCTGGTCTACTCAGGCTGCAAAGCTGGAAAAGCCAGCTTTACTCTTTATATGAGGAAATTTTACTAGCTGTGCTGAAAATGTGCATCTTATAAATTAAGGAAACTAAAGCTCGTATCAGTTATATCACCACAACTTTGCAGCAAAACATTATGAATTGTACTTAGTGAAGTACACAAAATTGTAGAAAATAATGATGATTAATGATATGATGACAGGGTTAAATAAAAAGGAAACTTTAAAGCTTGTAAATGCAAAAATATTCTGTTAACTCAGAAGTGGATTAGAGTGTTCAAAGTGCTTCAGGACTCAACACCATGTAAAGGCTGATTTATACTCCAGGCATCATAATGCCTCCCTACTTCAGAATGACAAATAGCCCTGTGCCGAGATCTCAATGGCAGCCCCAGAGCACTAACAGCAAATGTCTTCCATCTTAATAGCTGAGCCTCTGCGATTCTGTTCACTTAAAATTCTGAACATTTAACACTTCTTGTTGCATCTAAATCCAGATACAAAAACCTTCAAATCAAACTATTTACCTCAAGTGAAATCCACCCTGAATAATTCATAAGCTGCAAGGAAGCTGGAAGTGAAAGAGCTGAGGAGTGCTTTAATGAAGTCTAGAGTTCCAAATATAATGGTATAAAAGCTATTATGGATCTTTTCTAACCTTGTAAGAAAGAATATCAGTCTCCATAACAATGAAAGATCCCAATGAACAGGAAAAGAAACACAGTTCAGGTGTCTTGTTGTCAGTGACTAATGCTGCTAGCAGAATCTCAGACATTGCTACAGAGAAAGGGGTGAGACTTGAAGCAACACCTGACGAAGGATCTGGAGTGTTCAAATTGATTCTTATTCTTCCTCTCTCCTGAAGGAGTATTGATCCTTAAAATAGCTATAGTGAGCTGCAATTCAATTAGAATAACGTATGAAAGTCAAGAAAACACACTGAACTCCCGATGGGGGTTGTGGTGGCGGCTRCTTAACAAGGCTACTTCTGCTCTCAAAGGCCATGCAAAATTATTTGTTACATATTACACTCAGTGATTTTACTATAAGAATGGAGATTATGTATTTCTCTTTCAGCAAATACTATAGACTTTACCAAAACGCTTAGTTGATTTTTCTGAGTATCAGTAGCAAGACAGCACCATCAAATAGCAGCTGACTTTTTAACTTATCATCTGCTTATCATTCTGTATTTTGTTAATTTGAACAATTAACAGAAAAAAAATCAAGGGGGAGAGAGGTTTAGGATTAAAAATGGATATAATAATAGCACTAATTTTTGAAAACTTAAGGAAATTAATATCTTAAAGTTCTTTTGCTTTGCTGATAATAATAAATAACATAATTTCACTCACTGTTCTTGGTTGCTGATTAACAATATCAGTCCATGGGCAATCTGATCCCTCACTTCAAACCAATTGGATAAAGTCAGTGAAATTTCTTAATGTAGTACTAGCTACCTGTGATTATCTTAAGACAATTTTCAGTGGGGAGGAGTGGGAGGAAGGAGGGATAGAGAAAAAAAAGCATTCTTAAATTAGTTTGTGAATAAAAACATATTTTTAGACAAGTCTAATGAGGTAACATATATTTTAACTGAATATGAGGAAGTCTCTTCTTATTTGAGACATTGGGTAGAATTAATGTTTCATACAGGAAATCTGTCTTTTCCCTCTAGTGAGAAAGTACAAGGTATCTGGTACAACGGTGACAAAAATGAGAAGAATTCTGGTTCTGATATGGCAAGTCTCATGTGCCACCCTCACTGTTCTTTCTTCTGGGAAACTACAATAAAATAAAATAAAATAAAATAAAATAAAATAAAATAAAATAAAATAAAATAAAATAAAATAAAATAAAATAAAATAAAATAATTGTTTGTCTTTCCTACCAGCATTCATACCATTATCTTTTTTTTTTTTTTTAATCTATTTATACTAAAGAAAATTTCAAAACTTTCATTAACTATCTACTGGAAAATATCCTTTATGATGTTTTATTTCAAAACCTGAATTATCCAAAAAAGTGCTAGAAAGTATAGAAAAAGTATATTACATATCTTTTACATAGCTAGCATGAATATTCATTACCCTTTTGTGTGCCCCAGCCCATCAACTTGGAATCAGTGTGAATAAAGCAAGGACTCAGCCTTTACCTCCTTTTTACTCCATGTTTATGGAAATGGTTTCCCAAACCACTGTCACAAACACAACCACACACACTTCTACAATTGCAGCTATTCTTCAAGCATGCCACGGAATGCTGCTGTGGAGCCTCACAGCAGTACATGAAGAACAGGAAGGACAGCACTCATTTTATGCCAGCTTTCACTGGCACAGACTATTTTAATGATCAGAAATATCAAGAAAGCACACTAAAAATCTTTTACCAGATTCAATAAAGGAAAGCAAATATCAACAACTGGAAAGGTATTAGACTACCAAATAAAATAATCTCAGAAAGAAAGACTAGTTTCAAGCAGATAACAGTGTAATCTATTTACGAAAGTGCTTCAGCATAAAGCACTGAAGAAATCCCCCTCCCCTAGCAGTACAGTATCTTATGTACCATAAAACCCTTAGGATGGAAATCTTCTATTTCTACATATAGGTGAGTATTTCAAAGTAAGATATAGTAATTTATTAGCTATATAAACTTATTTCCTTTCAATCTGATAGAATTAGTAAAGAAGAGAGATCAAGAGATTTGGGGTTCAGGGTTCACAAATCTGCTGTTATGAAATTTCCAATAGAGACACTGACATTTTATCTCTGCATTCAAATTTAATAGGCACAGGAAAATGTTCAACACTACTTCAGAAATATGAAAAGAGAATATGCAAAATGATATCACTAAATTTTACTTCTAAGCTTTTAAAAATACAACTTCATCTTGTGCATATGAAGCACAATGAAATGCACTGCTTAATATTACAGTCACTGCACATGGTATGGGTTAGAAGATTTAGGCTTGTATATATAAGAAAGCTTTGTCTCAGCAGTTCCAGTTCCAGACGATTCATCCATCTTTCCAATGCTGTATATTGGTATCTAGTGTTCAATAGGAGCTCATTGATTTTGAGATGCATTACAGTGAACTGACAATTCTTCTAATATAAAACTGTAGGTAGATTTTACCTACCTGGATTTTATTATTCACTAAAGAGCAAAATAAATCATGCACAACTCATACACTAACTTAAATTCAGTATCACTAAAATCTAAGCTTACAAATGTTGCCAATTCAATCCATTTCAGGGTTATCTGCCTCATTAATTCATTTTCTCTCAATGTATGATGTAGAAGGTTTGGCAAATTGCAAACTCTTTTGATATGATAAACTGCAAAATGGAAAGTCTTTATAATCGTAGAAACAATGCTTTCTGAAGATGCATTTTGCTTCTAAACATCACTAACATCTTATGTTTACTTAATGTGTTTGCTATAAAAATTTTATTACTAATTTGGGTAAGGAAAAATTAGATCATTGTTGTTTTATTCCTTACATGATACTATTACAAACTAGAATCTAGCCTCACAAGAAAAATTAAAAGAATAAAGAACTCAATAATAAAGCCTTTGATTTCATGGATCCTGCTGCTTAGTTATGTTTTGGAACAGAATACCAAAAAGCCCATTTACCCCATAATGATTTTTTTCCCCTTTCAAGTTTAAAGTACACCCTGATTCCTTAGAGGGTGCTACTTGGTCTTTGATATGTTCAAAACACCATAGTGAG